ATTATCCGCCTGGCAGTGTCCCAGAAGCCGCCCTCTCTTGCGACCGGATTAGCCGCTGCTGTGAATTAAAATTTCAAAATAATAATAATAATAAAAATCAATTAACCCAGGGCTTTGGAGGGGGAGGGAGGGAAAGACGCAAGGATGTTCTGACGGTGGAGGACGAGCTGACTCTGGGGAATCCTCTGGAGAAATTCTGTGAATTTGAAAGCAGCAGCGGCAGCGAGACATCTGTTTTGATCAAACAAACACACACACAAAAAATAATAAAAATCCCATGTCTGCTCTGGGCTGATGAATATTGCATGCGCGCTCGGCAGGAGGTGGAGCTCTGGCTGGTGTTTTCAATTAATTCATTAACAACATCTCATTTTTTTTTTCTAATCCCGGCCGCGGGGTGGAGGAGGCGCCGCGGACAAAATGGGAAAGCTACAAGTTTTATTGCTTTGTGTATGTATTTAAGGCAAGCCAGACGTGCAATTATTTTTTTTTAAAAAAAATTTATTTATTGGCTGAAGTGAGTTACTTCTTAGGGAAGCCAGAATATTATTTATTTATTATTTATTTATTTTTGGGCTGAGTGATCGTTATTTTTTAGGGAAGTCAGAAATGCCATTAATTTTTGAAAAATAATTTTATTTATTCAATTATTTTTAAAATAACTGTAATTTTGGCTGGAGATACTTGATTTTATAAGGCCTGCCAGAAATGCAATTATTTTATTATTTTTATTTAAAAATTTTTTTCCTGCCTCCTGGGACCCAGAAAAAACAATTGGGCAGCTGCTGCGGCGGCGACCTTGTGCATATGCATGAGCTGGCGACGCGGGCCGAGCGGAGCAAGCTACGTAGCGAGAACGAACTGCAGGCGTCCACCTGTCCGGTCGCGCTCCAGGTAGCAGAGCCGCCACCGCTGACTTGGATCCCCGCCGGGATTGACAGGTGTGTGGGCCGGCGGGCGGGCGGGCGAGCGCCTTTCCGAGTTTAGATCCCGCCTGCTCGCTTTTGTTGTTGTTGTTGTTTTGTTTTGTTTTTGTCTTTTACTTCGCGTGGGTGTCTGGGCGCTGGGCACACGCGGGTAACCGCGATAAATGCATACATACATACATACATACGACAGCTTCCTCCCTAGCCTTTCCCAGCCCACCAGCCCGCCGTCTGGGAGGCTTGGTCCGGCCCGCAAGCGCTCTCTGGGAGGTCAGGGCTGGACCGAGGGAGGCCTGAGCAGGATTCAGGTGATAGCGACAAAATGTCCAGCAGTTCTGTGCAAATTGCTATAAAGTATCATTCAACTGGAGCAGTTGCTACAAAGTATCAGGCTCCCAGGGACTTCGCTACAATGTAACGTTCTCTAGAGATTGCTATGTAAAAATATCCCAGTGCAAACCACTACAAAGTATTTATGTCCTCCAGTGATTGCTACAAAGTATGAAACTGTGGAAATTGCTACAAATTATCACTCAGCTCCACAATTGCTATAAAGTGTTGGGTTCCTCAAACAATTTTTTTCCAAGTATCAGGCTTTAGGGGCGATTGCTAGGACTATCAGGTTGTTTGTGTATGTTGCTACAAAGTGTTGATCTCCTTGAAGGACTGATACAAATTACTGGTCCGCTGGAGTGATTGTTACAAAGTATCCAGCTCCCACAGCGATTGCTAGAAAGTATCAATCTCCAGTGAATATTGCTACAAAATGTTAGCCTCCTTTGGTGACCACAGCAACATATCAATCTCATAGGGCAAACAGCTACAAAGTGTTAGCTGCAGCAACCGCTACAAAGTATTAGGTTTCTTACAGCGATCGCTGCAAAGCACTAATCTCGTCATGCAAATTGCTTCAAAGTAGCAGGTTCCAGGGGCGATCGCTACAAAATATCAATCTTCTCGTGCAAATCGCTACAAAGTGTCAATCTCCCCGTGCAAATTGCTACAAAGTATCAATCTCCCCCGTGCAAATTGCTACAAAGTGTCACTCTCTTCCCGCCATGGCTGGGAGGCATAGGTCTCCTCCAGCGCTGGTTAAAAACGATCCATCTCCTTCATGCCAATGGCGACAAACTGTCAATTTCTCTCGGTGCAAATGGCTACAATGTGTCAATCTTTTCATGCAAATGGCTAAAAAGTGTCAATCTCTTTCGTTCAAAATTGCCAGAATTATCAATGCATTTCATGCAAATTGAACAAAGTGTCAATCTCTGTCGTGCAAATAGCTACAAAGAATCGATCTTTCATGAAAAGCCTCCAGAATACTTCCATCATTTCTGTGCAAAATTGCCTAAAAGTATCAATCACTGTAGCGCAGTATCACTACAATGTTATCAGTCTCTTTTGTGCAAATTGCCACAAAGTACTGATCATTTTCATGCAAAATACAGCAATCTACCAATCTCCTTGTAAATCACTACAAAGTATCAATATCTTGCACAAAATCTCTTTCCTGGAAAGCAATAAAAAGTATCACACTTGGGATATTACTACAATGTATCAGACTCCTCCATGCAACCCACCACAAAGAATCAAACAGCTTTCATACAAAATACAACGAAGTGTCAATCTCTTTATGCAGAATCACTAAAAAATATCAGTCTCTTTAATGCAAATTGCTACAAGGCATCAACTTACTGTTAAATATAGCTACCAAGTATTAATCTCTTTCTTTTAAACCATCACAAAATATCAATCGTTCTCATGCAAATTGCAGCAAAGTGCCAATCCCCTTGTGCAGAAGCTGTACAAATGATCAATCTCTTTCACAAAAAATTGCTACAATTACCTTTGTACAATTACCTTTGCTATCAATTACCTTTGTGCAAATACCTAAAAACTGTCCATTGCTTTTATGCAATTCGCAACAAAGCAGCATGTTCATGTAAAATGCTAAGTCTCATGTAATTTTCATGTAAAAAGCATCAATCTCCTATGGAAATCAACTCAATATATGAATGTCTTTACTGCAGATTACTACAAAGTGTAAGGTTTTTTGAACAAAATCGCTACAAAGCATTAATAAATTTGATACAAATGAATACAAAGTTTCACTCTTATGCAAAATCATACAAAGTACCAATGGCTTTCATGCAAGTAGTTTTAAATTGTGCATCTCTTTTGCGTTGAAATTGCTATAAAATATCAATCTCATGCAATTTGGTGCAAAATATCAACCTCTTCTGCAGAAAATCAGTAAAAGGCATCAATCTCGTGTGCAAAATCACTACAAAGTGTCAATCTCCTTCACACAAAATTGGTTCAAGGTATCAATCTCCTCATGCAAAATAGTTAGAAATATCAACCTCTTTCATGCAAATTGCTACAAGTGGTGGATCTCTTTCGTGTAAAATTGCTACACAGTAACAATTGCATTTGTGCAAATTCTTACAAATTGTCCATTACTCTCATGCAAATAATCAATCTTTTCATTCAATCTCTTCATGAAAATTGCTACAATTAATCAATATCTTTCAAGTAAATCTTTTTGCAAAACTGTTACAAGGAATTAATCTCTTTCAGGCAAAGTCTTACAAACTCTCCATCTTTTTCATGTAAATTGTAACAAAGCCTCAATATCCTCATAAATTCGCTATAGAGTATGAATTTCTTTCATGCAAAATTGCTACAAGGTGTCAATCTCTCTTTTGCAAAACCGCTACAAAGCACAAATTTCCTCATGGTAAAAAAAAAAGCTACAATGTATCTGTTGCAAATTGCAACAGTGTTCATCTTTTTTTTGTGCAAAATGGTTACAAATTATCAATCTAACACAAAGTGTAATAGTCACTGTCCTTGTGCAAAATTGCTACAAAATATTAATCCCTTTCATGTAACTCCCTACAAACTGTCAATCTTGCATGCAAAATTGCTACCACGTATCAATCGTTTTGGGCAAGTTTTTACAATCTTTCCATAGTTTCCGTGAAAATTGTAATAACGCATCAGTGTCTTTAGTGCAAATGCTGCTCAGTATTAATCTCCTCATGAAAAATTGCTACAGAATATCAATCTGTTCTCATAAATTCCCCGTAAAACATCAATTTCTTTCGTGGAACAATCCCTACGAAGTCTCAATCTCTCGAGCCGAATCACAAGGCATGAGCTTTTTTTTTTCTCATGCAAAATTGTTATGATTCGCCGTGTGCAAAATCGCTATAGAGTAACAATCTAGTTTTTGCAAATTTGCTACAAAGCATCATTTTTTTTTGGCGCAATTTAAAGGAAAGTATCAGTCTATTTGGTGCAAATGGCTACAAAATTTCAATCTCCTCAACGCAAAATTGCTATAAAGTATCCATCTCTGTTGCAGAGACCAGAGAAGCTCTAGGAAGCCAAGTTTACAAACAAAATGAAAGAAAAGCCTGGGAGTATCTCTACTAGGGTTCAGCTGCCCAGAGCAACTTCTGGTGAATTCCTGTAGATGCCACTAAAGACAGCCATCCTCTTCACTTCCTCTTTTTCCTTCTCCCTGTCTTCCTCCACCTATCCAGTTGTTGGATCTCCAACCGCCCCCTATTTTTAAAAAAATCCGCCTTTTTCCAAGGACCCCCTTTCCCCTCCCCCTGCAGCCCACGAGCCCAGCGCCTTAATTGTTCCAGACAGAGCGTAAACGTGTGTGTGAAAAAGAGAGAGAGAGAGAGAGAGAGAGAGAGAGAGAGAGAGAGAGAGAGAGAGAGAGAGAGCGAGAGAGCAAGAGAGCGAGAGCGAGAGAGAGAGAGAGAGAGAGAGAGAGAGAGAGGCGCTCGGTATAAATGCAGCTGTGCGAGAGCTGCAACGTGTCTCAACACCCCTGTGCACTGCCTGAAACAGCCGCCGCCAGCATCAGCTCCTGGGGGAGACGCGCGCCCCTAAAAAATTGGGGGTAGTCTGAACTCCAGGAGTTACGGCTGGAGCAGCTGCAGCAGCCTGAGAACCCCTCCTTGGAGACTCCTTAGACCCCTAAATTTGGGAGTGTATTGAGCCATTTGGGGGTGTCTGATCTATTTTTGTGTACCCCGAGAGCTGTGGGAGGCCATGGAGGAGCTGCGAGCCTTCGTCTCTAAGTCCTTCGAGGCCAAATCCCAACCTTGTAGCCAATTCCAGAGTAACTCGCTGCAATGTTGCAAAGCTGGCGTGGGTGGGCGCACCCACCACCAAGGCGGCAGCGGCTCTTGTTTCCGCACTCTTTTGCCTGCCGCAGCAACCACCGCGACCACCGACTCCAGACAGGTGGAAGACTCCGGCCCCGCCCCGCATGCGGCCCAGGACCCCGGAGATCACCACCCTGACGATGACGAGGAGGACGCAGCTGAAGGTAGGAGTACCCCTCTCCACCTCACCCAGGTGACTCAGCCCAAGTCGCCAGGCCCCCCATCGCTGCTAGCCTGTTCCTAGGGGGACCAGCCACTCACCCACCGCACAACCTCCCAATCAACCTTCAATCAATTGCCCCAGGCAATCAATCCAACCATCTAGGGATCCAACCTGGAGAAGTGAAAAAAGGAGGAGGAGAAGAGGGGATCCGAAGGCTTCTCTGCTGGCTCTCGTTCACCCCTCTTGAGGGGAGTTCTGCGGTGAGGGGGGGAAATGTGGAAACACTCAACCGTGTTGGGCAGCTGGTAATGCTGTCGGAGAACCCTAACATCAAACACGTGTGGGTTAGGTGCCCGCACGCGCTTGCCTGTCGGATAGGACAGCACAGCCCTGCCCACCCCCCACCACCCCACTCAGCCATCCGTCAAACCGGCCTCCTGAGCCAGAGCGTTCTCCGGGATCGAGTTCCAACTTTTTAATTTATTACATCTTATTAAAAAAAAATAATTTTCGTGAGGTGCGGGCAGGCTCAGGGCAGGGGCGGGGTTCCCCAGGATTTCCGTTTGCCATAAGTAAGATAATCGATCCAGGTTGGTTGGAGGGAGCAGTCAATCAGTTAATGTGATAGACAATTTTGGAAGTGGCCGGAGCAAGTCCCACCCCTGTCCCGCGACCTAAGAGAGCACTTTAGGTATGCGGATGGCAAGTCTTTCAGATGCAATTCAGCCTCCCTCCTCCCCAGGCCGGCAGCCGCGCTCTGGGACGAAGGCAGAAGAGGCTGAGGAGGGTCCAGCGCGGCTGAAACAGCGACGTAGCAGGACCAACTTCACCCTGGAGCAGCTTGGAGAGCTCGAGCGCCTGTTTGACGAGACTCACTACCCCGACGCCTTCATGCGCGAGGAGCTCAGCCAGCGCCTTGGCCTCTCAGAGGCCCGCGTACAGGTGTGCGAGCCAGGGATGGTTGAGACAGGTGCATCAAGTGTGCAGGTGAAACAGGTGAGGGAGGGAGACGGGGAAGGTGGTAGGCAGGTAGGGACGGAAGCACACAGTCCTGTAGGTGGGTAACTCAGGTCGGCAAGACCCCTAGGGGAAGCCAACAGTCAGAAGTACTTATCACCTGACAGCGCTAAAGCAAGCTAGGGTGTGAGGACAAGGCGAAGGCGGAGAATAGAGGACAACAATAAAAACCCAATAAATCAATCTACATCCCCTAAAGGGCACAGGACCCATAGAAGAGGGAAAACAGCTCTGAAAACCTCCACTTAAGGGATACCCAGGCAGGAGGGTGCTGAGTGCTGCGGTCCGCTTCCTTCTCTCTACTCTCATGGCTCTTCCCCTTCCCTGGCTCCGGAGAAATGGGCCAGGAGGAGACAGCGGTGGTGGGAAACGATACCTTGTCTAGGATGCCTGTGCTCAAGCAGACACAATCCTGGCAGCAGGGATACTTTGCATCATTACTGGGTCCCGAGAATGAAAGCAATGGACAGATTGGATACTTTATATCATTTGCATGTGCTGAGGATTACCCAATTTCAGTGGAGAATGGATACTTTGTATCATTCCTGCAAATGTTGTAATCGGTATTCATAAGGCAGACTTTTCATGTACTTAAGACGGCCTTAAAAAATGCCTCCTCCTCAATAAGTTCTGCCTTATTTTTCCCTCTCTGCACAAATTGTTCCTTCACGAGCCGGTCTGGGTTTTCATTATTATTTTATTTTGTTTCTTGTTTTTATATTTTGTTGGAGTTCTCCCTCCTCCTCCCTGATCCCGCGGGGCCGTGCTAATGGGAAGTTATGAGAAGAGAAAAAAAACCAAAATCCTCGGGGCGGTAATTGAATTTTCCCGACAAGTTTGCTGTGGCTGGAATTAAATGTCACTGCTCACTTTCACTAATGGACATCACGCAGCAAATCGCATTAACTCCCGGCGGCCCTGTTAATGAACAAACGAGTGTCTGCTACGAAGTGTAGACCAATCCACTTAACCGCATTGGAGGCTAATTGGAAGGGATCAAACATTGTGTGTGTGTGTGTGTGTGTGTGTGTGTGTGTGTGTACCTCTTAGAGGCTCAGGCTCCTGGGGAGAGACTGTAGTGAGTTGGACTGAGTTGTGGCTGCATAAGAAGACAACCTGGATGAATTTTGGGAGGAGGTACAAGAAGGGAGAAACCCCCTCCTATGTCACCCCAAAAATCCCCATTCTGTCTAGGATGCTGGTAGTGGACGGCGGCATCCTAATTCTGTGTTCCCAGTCTAGCTCTGTTCTTCCAAAGTGGGAAACTACCCAGGGCACATGGAAAATTTCAGAAAGTTTCGTGGAGTTTCAGAAAGAAACTTACACAAAGTTCTAAAAGCTACTCTGCACCAATACACACACAGAGACCAGGGTACCAGAAACCCAGAGTCCCAGAAGCATCCCTGGTGGGTTGGGGGTGGTGATTTCTGTCTTGGATCCGCCCACCCACGGCTGTTTCCTCCTTACCCGTCCCTCCCCAATGTGCGCAAAAACAGGTCTGGTTCCAGAACCGCAGAGCAAAGTGCCGGAAACAGGAGAACCAACTGCACAAAGGTCAGATTCTGTGGAGTGTGTGTGTGTGTGTGTGTGTACACGCGTACTGACAAGGCCACACCACCTGGAGTGGGGGACCTGCTGAGAAGGAGTTTCCAGAAAGCTGAAAACCGTGCCCTTCAGGGTGGGGGAGAAAAGGGTGGAGTAAGGGGCAGAGAGAGAGAGAGAGCGGGAGAGACCCTAACCCAGTGACGCTATTTGAGTATTCTGTCCCAGCAGGAGTGATTCTGGGTACAGCTAACCCCCTGGATGCCTGCCGAGTGGCGCCATACGTCAACATGAGCGCCCTGCGCATGCCTTTCCAGCAGGTAAACAGGCTGGTGGTGCCCCGGGTCTTTTATTTTTTTCCTCTTGGAGGGGGCGCTTCGAGGAGGTAGGGAGATCTTCTAGCTGCAGCAGCAGCGACGTGGTGTTGGCCATCATAAAATTCCCCTCACGTATCAAGGGTGGCCTTTCCCATACCATCAGCTACCGGCCGCCTAAGGCAGCTATGTATCTTTTTCTCAAGTGTGCTCTGGAATGATTGACAAGTGTGTTGCCAATGCGAGGCAGCGGAGACAGGAACGCCTCAACTGCTGACTGCACCGGGAGCCCTGGGCTCCCCCGACTCTGGTGAACTCCTGCCCCCTCAGTCTGCAAGGCACCCTCTTCTCAGCTGACCTCTTCTTCTCCGGCGCTGCAGGTCCAGGCTCAGCTACAGCTGGAGGGCGTGGCCCACGCTCACCCACACCTGCATCCGCACCTGGCGGCCCACGCGCCCTACCTGATGTTCCCGCCCCCGCCCTTCGGCCTGCCCATCGCCTCGCTAGCCGCTGAGTCCGCTTCTGCAGCTGCAGTGGTGGCTGCTGCCGCCGCCAAGAGCAGCAGCAAGAGCTGCAGCATCGCTGACCTCAGGCTCAAAGCCCGGAAGCACGCCGAGGCCCTGGGCCTCTGACCTGGCTTAAGGTGTTTTGCCACCGGCGTCCCTTGGGAACCCCACTGGGCCTCTGACCTGGCCTCAGGTGGGAGCAACTGTGCACCTGCAGGGTACCTGGCCCCGGGTTAAAAAAAAAAGGCAGCAATAATACAAAGAATTATAATAATAAAATGGGAGGGTTAGGGTCCCCCCCCCCCAGGCCTGGGAGGGAGGGAGCTGGTGGAGTGGGGAGGGAGCGTGTGGGCAGGGGTCTTCCAATGCCACAGAGTCGCGAAGCCACGTGCAATATTGTACATAGGATCATTAAAAAAAATTGAAGAGCCATATGGTGGTCCTGAGTGGTTGGGTGGGATCTCTGGAAGGAAGCAGGGGCGGGAGGCTTTGGGCAGGGGAGGCACTGGAGGTTGCAGCTGCTGAGGATGCTGCACAGGGACCCAGAGGACCCGGGTTGGCCACCCCCTTGGAGGGCTCCCTGAATGGCCAAGAAGAAGAGCTGGAGCAGGGGCCAGAGCAAAAAGGCTGGTGAGTGGCATTTAAAAAAAATTAATTCATTTAATTCTTATTTTAAGTTTTATTTCCATTATGTTTTATTTCACTTTTAATTTTTATTTTGTTTTATTTCATATGTGGGGTTTTTTTTAAATTTTATTTTGTATTTTGTTGTCTAGATTTTTTTTAGGGTTTTTTTTTTTTGTCTTTCGATTTGGGGAGATTTTTGTTTGTTTTTAGGGCCTCCTCCTCTTGCTTCTCTTCTATAATGAACCTGGGCAGAAGTTAGAAAATCCATCGAAGCACAAAGCAAGAATATTAGGGTCTGTGTGACTTGGCCTTCTGCTTTTTTTTTTTTTTTTAATATTAAGATCAAATCTTTCTTCTGTGCTGCCTGGGAAGGACTCTGCAGTGAAGCCATGATGGGATCTTTGTTTCCTCCCAGCTTCACATGGAGAACTTTCTAGAACCTCCTAGATGGATGGAAGCTGAAGGTGAATCCAGAAAAAGCAGGATTAAGAATGTGGCTTCCACTTCCCCTCCCATAGCTTGCAGACTGTTTTCACTATGCAGGCTTTGGGGACACAATCCAGAGTAATGGCAGGTCAGGTTTTCAGGGATCTGCACTGTGAACAAAAAAGGGAAAATTATTTTTCAGGTAAAGAACAAAGAAAGGCCATAAAAAAATGCATGCAAGATGAGACAAAAATTTGCAAAAAAAAAAAAAGCCTCAAGCTCCCTGCTCATGTATACACCCTGAAGAGGCAGTAGAAGTACTAGAATTTTATTTTATTTATTTATTTTTTGTGTTGGAGCTAAGTGTCCAGCAAACCAAATCCCTAGAGACAAGGGCTGCTGGCAGTCACACAGCCCCTGCTGGGGCCCCTTTGCAAAACCAGCTGGTTCTTGCAAATGTTTGCAACTTTGTGGCTTTTAAAATTTTATTTCATTTTATCTTATTTTATTTTATTTTATTGACTTCCAGCAGCTCTGAGTGGGCAGCCAGGAATGCAGAAATAGGAGCTTGGGCTGAGTGATTTTGTTTTAGATTCTATCTATCTATCTATCTATCTATCTATCTATCTATCTATCTATCTATTTAGTGCTGCAGGGAATGCATCCTTGATGGATGGTAATAGCCTCATTAAGGGCACAAACCTTGGCAGGCATAATTTTTTGCAGCATTTTTAAGCCCTGATTTATTTTTATTTAATTTTTACAGTGCTGTCACTCAGCAGCCTGGGTTTTAAATAACCACTAAGTGGTATTTTTTGTTTGTTTGTTTTTTGCTTTATTTTCCTTCTTCCTTTCTCAAAAATGAGTTTATTCATTCATGCGATGCTGGCACAGGCCTCTAGGGTCCCATGATTTGCAGAAGATTCTTGGAAGCAGAACATCCTGTCCTTTTTGCTGTTCTCAGAGGTTTCCCAGAAATGGTCAGAGAGAGAGAGAGGTCATTCCTACCTCCAGAGGGCCTCAGCAACCAGGGCTGGTCCTTACTGGAGGCAGGAAGTCAGAGTTGCAGCCAGTCTCCCAGAGGAGTGCAGCAGGTACACAAAATGTGTACCTGAGCAGGGAACCCCAGCCATGGCAACAATATCTGCACCTCCTTGCCTTCTCCTGCATCCCCCCACCCTTGGGCCCCGACAGTAACAATGTTGACAGCAAGGGCCAGCATGCACTCCCCTCAATGGGTCCCTGAAGGCCAGACCAAACTCCACTGCACCTTACCCAAATCAAGTGACCCTGATGCTCAGCAGGTGGGCTGTCCCCTGAATACCTGATAAGCTACCTTGGGAAGGAAAGCAGGGAGGCAGTATCTAGCAAGCTAGTCCTGAGCTCTCTTTCCTGTCCTTCCCCCACTTCAGCAACCAGAACCCTGCTAGATTTCATTCTTATTATTTATTTGCAGCTGATAGTGGTTGCTTGGTGCTGATTCCTAGGATGCTATTACTAATTTATTTATTTGTTTGTTTAATTTTTGAGGGCCAAGGCAGCAGAAGCACATGCCAGAATAAAAGGCTGCAGCAGGAAGCACTTTTTTTAAAAAAGATTTGTTTGCTTGTTTGTTTGTTTAAAAGTCAGATATACAGAGAGGAGAAGAGACAGAGAGGAATATCTTTCATCTGCTGATTCACTACCCAAGTGGCCACAATTGCCAGAGCTATGCAGATCCATAGCCAGGAACCAGAAGCTTTTTTTGGGTCTCCCAATTGGATGCAGGGTCCCAAGGCTTTGGACCATCCTCCACTGCTTTTCCAGGCCACGAGCAGGGAGTCAAATGAGAAGCAGGGCTGCTGGGATTAAAACCAACACCCATATGGGATCCTGGGACATGCAAGGTGAGAACTTGAGCCCCTAAGCTACCATGTGGAGCTCAGGAAGCATCTTTATGATGCTGATAGCTTTTTGTTTTAAGCACAGAGTTGGCTCCAGCCCTCCCCAATTATTTAACAAATAAGTCACCCCAAATGCCATTGAATAGGCTCCCTTACCTTCCCCAATTCCTTCCTAGGTGGAAGGACTTCCCACTCAGGAATGATGGAGCAAAACATGAAGCTCACAAGAAATAACTGTATTTTTGTTTTTTCTTTTCTTTTTTGTTTTGCCATTCAGCTTCCTGGGCTCATGTCCGCAGGCCTGTAAGGTGGTGATTGCAGCAGCAGCAGGGGATGAGGTCCTTGTGTGCCAGAAAGAGCTCCTGCCTTCTGACCCTAGGTCCCTACTCATGCTACTGTAAGCTGAAATGAGGGATCTGGGTGCCCAAAATCAGGCCCATGGAAGCAGCTTCTGCAGACATAATTGATTTTAAGAAACATTCAGCAAATAAGAAGGGCATATTGCTTACGGTTTGGTGCCCTGTTTTCTACCCTGGTCACTTCTGTGTGTCATTTCTGTTCCATGCTGCTGAGTCTCCTTGACTGAGTCTTTCTAGCAGGTGTGTGGAATCTGCACCATGGGCAGAGTTCAGAACCCAGGAGTTTGCTCTCAGCCATCAGACTGGATCCAATATGGATCTGTGGGCAATCACTTGTGCACAGTCCAAGATTGTGCCTTGAAAAGCAATTGGGAAGAATCCAATATGGTGGTGTGTACATGAGCAGGGAGCTGGGGACAGAAGCCAGGAGCTCCATCTAGATCCCCCAAGTGGATGCAGTAGGTTCACAATGCCCTGAGCCCTCCCCTGCTGCTGCAATTTTGCTTCTTGAAAACCTCATTTCCTGGCCTGCTGAGATAGAGCTTTTCTTTTTTTTTTTTTTTCTCTTTAAAAGAGTGTTTATTTTTATTGGAAGGCAGATTTATAGAGAGAAGGAAAGACAGAAAGATCTTCCACCTACTGATTCACTTCCCAAGTGGCCACAATAGCAGGAGTCACAATAATGAGAGCTGAGTGGATTTGAATACAGGAACCAGCAGATTCTTCCAGATCTCCCATGTGGGTGCAGGGTGCCAAGGCTTTGGGTCATCCTTTACTGCTTTCCCAGGCTATAAGTGAGGGCCTGTATGGGGGACGTGAAGCAACTTGGACAAGAAGTGGCACCTATATGGGATCCTGGCAGTTGCAAAGCGGGGATTAGCTAATTGAGCCATCTTGCCTGTCCAAGTGAACTTTCTTGAAGAAAGGGTCCAGCCACTTAGACTGAGCATGCATGTGTTAATTAACCAGAGCTCAGGTTAATGTCTTCTTGTTGTTCATCTTGAGCACTCATTAGTGCTAATGAGCTGAGAGCAAGTTAATTAGTCTGGAGAGAGAAACACAGGAGAGAAATTCTTTATGCCATATCCTTGCCCTAGTGGAGAGGACAGCCAGGAGCTCCTGCTGTGTTTCCCAGTTGGAAGCAGTAAGCGCACAAGGCCCTGTCCCTCCCCTGCTGCCTGCCAGGAGTTGGATCCTTGAGGAGGCAGCATTCTTAGCATCTGCTGCACCCACTTGGGAGATCCAGAGGGAGCTCCTGGTTTTTCCTTGTATTTGGGCACAAGGACCTAGCAGGTAGAATTTCAATCTCTTTCTCTACCACTCCCTTCTTCTCCACCTTCCCATTAACCATGGTGGAAGGAATATTGCAGACTAATTTTTTTGCAAGCAGAGGGGCTGGATTTTGAATGACAGGCAGGGTGGGGGGGCGTGGCTGGGGGAATCCCTGGTTGCATATGTGAATGACAGGAGCTGCCTCTTGTTGATTCAATTAAACCAAGCCTGGGGTGATTTCCAGCTCATTTAAATTTTTTTCCCCTGTCTGGTTGTTGGCACATCAACGATCCCCCGAGAGGCCTCTTTCTTCAGCGGGAATGGGGAGGGTCTTGTGAGTGCTCTTGCCTGCCTGCCTGGCCTGCTGTGTGATTGACAACTTTGATTTTCCCGCCCCCTCAGTACCTGGAATGCCCTGCCTCCAGTTGCCTGATTATGTATGCACCTTGGGAAAAGCAGCAGCAGCAGGAATAATGGCAGGAATAACTTAATGCATCCATGGATGCAGCAGGTGCACAAGGATCTGAGCCCTCGCCTGCACACCTGGTGTGCAAGAGCA